TTTTTTTTTTTTTTAATCTTTTGTCTCATTTTTCTTTAGTATGGAAAGTAAATTTTCAAGTGAGAAGCTTGTGAAAGACTTTATCAGTTTTTCTCCTTCAAGAACAATGTGCTCTTCCGTCAGACCTTTTATAACTTTAAATGTGAAATTTTTCCCACCCCTATCCCTCTAATGTTAGTCCCTCACTCTGGCAATTTGTATTTCCCTATTGGCTTTGTCATATTTTTAGATTCACAGTCCTAAACATATACTAATAAAAGTCAATTTGCTCTATCAAGAGAGACCCAATAATCTGTCTAGTCTGGCATCCTGCACAGGATATTGACTTAGAACATATGGTATAAATCCACATATTGTATTCACCTTTAATTGTGTGATGGTATACAGTGAATTGAATGTTCTTTCATGACATCAGCCAGCTATCCATTTTTTCCTGGTAAATAAAGTATAGTGGGTTCCTTTCTTATACCAGTATCTTTGACTTGTGTAACTGAAGTGGCTAATAATTCATATAAACTTTGGGGAAATATGGGAAGAAATCACTCCTTGTATTAATTAGCCAGAATAATATTTAATAGCTGTGAATTCCACAAGTCGTTTACAGCAGCGGTTCCCAACCTTTTTAGATCGTGGACCAGAAGTGACCGCAGACCAGGAAACCACAGTCTGGAAGTGATCAGCATACTGCAGAGTGGCAACCAACCCTTTTTTATACTTAGTAGAAAAAAAGGTTGGCTGCCGGTCTGCAGTATGCTGGTCACTTCTGGACTTGCAGTCCAGCAGCCAGCCCTTCGTGGCCCGGTACTGGGCCATGGCCTGGGGATTGGGAACCTCTGATTTACAGGATAAAGGTAAAAGAGAATGCCATTTTAGTTGGCACAGGGTGCTAGGGCACTCTGCGGTGCTGCCAGTTCCTTTGAAGGGCACCACTAGGTGTGAAGGAACAAGCAAGGTCTGAGGAGATAAGCACAGGCTCAGAATTGTCCCTGCCTGAACGATTCCCCACTTTCCAGCTTCTCTGCAAGGAGGTAAGCACTGTAGTATATAAATTCATTTTTGAAACTGAGTGCCACTCAATTCACAGAAGCTGTGAAGGAGATTGAGAACCACTGCTTTAAAGCAATCCCAGTTGCATTTTGTCTTGTCCATGGTATCGTAGTATAATATGGATGAGGGTTAGAATTAAAGAATAGTGAAGGGCAAACTGGAAAATGGAATTAAATGAAGGGGAAGAAGTTAGAGAGCCTATTGGCCAATTCTTGCCAATAGGCTCCCATATCATTTACTATATTTGTTTAATGAGCATGTGAAATGTGAAAGTTCACTGAACAATTTGTCTAGTCACTGATCCTCTCTTTATCCCTGGAGTTCTTTTGTGAAAAGATAGAAGGCTAAATTATTTGGACCTCTTGGTTGACAAGCATTGTCTGTAGAGGAAAAAAAATTGTAACACATTCTGGGTTTGAACCCACAGACTTTTAAACTATCAGGGAAAATGAATGAGTAGGCAAGTCCTGACCAGTTTCTTTGATTTCAGGTTTGTTTTTATCCTTGGGACTTCAGTGGCTCTGGCTTTTTCTGCCATGTTAAGAAGAGGAGTGATGCGCATACAACTCTTGCGTAAAATGATGTGGAGGACCATTGTTTTACTGGTGATTGGGGTCTTTTTCCTCAACTACGGTCCTGCAGATGGCCCATGTAAGTATTATATTTTGCCATTGTTATTCTAGCATTTAAAGTGGATGTGTTAGGCACCACATCATTGGTCATAAAATACAGGTCACGTAAAAGGTATAAAATTCTTCCATAAAGCTACATTTTACCAAAAGCTTACCTGAACTTATCGAATTTGAATAATAGTGCATATCCTAAGCCAAAAGGAATCTGCAAGGGATATTTTTTCAGTCTTGCAGCAGTTCTTTTTTTAGTAAATTATTAAGAATTGGGTTGGCAATTATATGAACAATTGATAGAGCTTAGAAAGAGTAAAAACAGCAAAAAATATATATATGATCCAAGGAAAGGATGAATCACTAAGTGAAAACTTGGCTACTTCTAATGGCTGTTTCTGAATATAAGCAAATTGCTGGACTAATTGATACAAGAGTGTCTTCTTCTAAGGAATAGCCGTCACTACACTGTTATTGCTTAAATGCTGGAGAGCAGGTACGTTCCATGAGACAGAGGTCTGGTTTGGTACTCTAATTTATTGTTGTGATATTAAGTTAGCACACAATGTTTTGCAATGGTCTAATTCTCCCCCCCACCCCCGCGCCCCTGGAAACAGGGTAGAAATGCTACAGATCCCTTATGAAAATAGCCTCTCTATCATTCAGTAGCTGCATTCTTGTCACACATACATAACCCATAAAATAACCAAATACAACAAAATTGAGGGTAGACCAGGTGACCTCAAAGTAACCTATAGCTCAAGATATTCCATCTATGTTCTGAGAGCCACAGGAACAATGCCATCTTGTACATGATTTGAGTATCCTAAATTAGCCTCCTAATCTCTGGTATATAGTTCAGTATCTCTGTAATCCAGCGATACCCCATTTTTTTGCCCTGTGGACCAGATGAATGATGCAGGGTGTGTCCATGGGCCAGATCCAGTCCATGGGCCCAATCCAGCTTGTACTGGATTGGGCCTCAAGTCCCACATGCCATATCATAACTATGATTAGACTCACAGCCCCATTCTTTGGATAGGGCCCTGCTGTGAAAAGGATCCTGCACAGAAGGCCATGTCATCTGGCCTGCAGGGCTTTGGAAATTTTGTGGTGTTGGGGCAGTGGCAGTGTTAATTGCCACTACTCCCACATACCAAAGATCCAGTCCCATGGGCTGGATCTCACTGCTTCACAGGCTCGAGGCTGAGCACCCCTACTCTAGGTCAGTGAATACTTTATTATATACATGTGTGTGGAGGGGGGGAGGGAGCAGTGATAGATTCAGGATTTTACAAAAGGTGGTGTGGGAGCAGCTACTGGTGCTGCAGGGGGGGCTGCACCCCCAACCCAGCATCCTCTGCCTTCTCCCTCCCACCAGGATGGGCAGACCATATGAGAGAGCAGCAGATGGGGACATTTTTAAGTTTCAAAGATAAGAATTCCCTCATCCCTTCCCCTCCATGCTTGTTCCCTCCCCTCCTGCTCCTCCTCCCACTGCCTGCTGCTGCCTGTGTCCCCATTGTCCCAGGGACAAGGGGAGACACTCCAGCTGAGATGCACAAGGGCTGTGCTTAGCCCAGGACAGCAGCAGCAGTGGCAGCAGGCATGTTCTTTTTCCCTCCTGCTGTCCTGCCCAGTGTTCCCCACCAGCAGAGGAGCAGGTATGGGGAGAGCAAACTTGCTACCCCCTGCCGCTGTCACTGTTGCCTCTGTCCTGAGCTGAGCCCAGCCCCCTAAGTGCAGCCCAGCTGGAGCAGAATATAAGCTCCTCTCATGCCCATGGCAGTGGAGGCACCAGCAACGGCTGATGGAAAAAGGGGGAATGGGAGAATGGAAGAACCAATGTGCTTGTTAACATGGAAGGGAAGGCATGAAGGGAGGGCAGAGAGTCTTACCTTCTTCGGGACTTGGAGTCCCCTGCTGCTGATCCTGACATATGGCCAGAAAAGGGGTACAGCAGCGCCACTGCACCCCTCCTGGATCCTCGTGTGTGTGTGTACTAGTATGTTAAGTAAAATAGCTTCAAAGGGAGCACCTGGGAACCATCTACTTGTGTATACCCTAGTTCAAGTTCTTGGTCTGAATCGAGTCTCCCACATCCTGGGTGGGAATGTCCTGATTACTGGATGATCTGCTACTTTGGGGTAGAACTCTCTCTCTGATATTTCATGAGAAGAAATGTGGGGAAAATTTCAAAATATTTTGGTTTTATCCAGATGCAAAACAGAAAACATTTTGAAATCTTGAAACATTTTATGGGACAGAAAAACCTGTTTCTGCTCACTTCTAGTTCTCATAGTGAATCCTTTCCATACTGAATGAAAGCAGTGCAGGACTCCCATATTTACCTCTGAATACACTAGCGAAAATAACATTTTAATTCTGTAAAAAAAAGAAAGAAAGAAACATGTTTTTTTATTTTACAAATAAAATGTGAGCAAGTCAAGAAGGAAGAGTACTGAAGGACTTGCCCTGCTTTTGTGAACCAGGACAACTGGCTTTTTCTACAGATGCTGCAGTTTTATCAAGAAAGCTTTACAGTACAACCTGGAGAGGCTAACAAGAAAGACAAGTTGAAGGGCACACTCTGTATTGATGTTTATTTTGGCAATTCTTTCCTTAAGTGTGAGTGCTGCTTTTCTGCACCTGTGAATTCAAACAAGAGTCCTGCCTTGAGTTTCCTAAGGGCACAGAGGTCCACCAGTTAAAAGCTGATTCCAAAATATTGAGAGTTTTCTAAGACAACATTTTGCTGTGTATTTTAATAAAATCTGCTTTTTGGTGCATGTAATCTTTTTTGGTGAGGGGGCAGAGGGCAGATAGAGCAAAGGTGTCCAAAGATTGACTGTATTTTATCAAAATTCAGCTTCTTTCTAAGCAGTAGTTAACTGCTAAAATGGTTTGTATTTGCTATGTTGTGCCCACCCCCTCCTCCTTCATCATCATAAAGTACATTGCAGTTAAGAGTGTCTTTGCATTTACCAGCAACACAGCTAGTTATTGTCCATCAAAGCCCAGGCATCTAGCACAGTGAGTATCATAGCAGCAACAAGCTATTAGCACTTTGCTGCTTCCAGCAAGGATAGCTCACTAATTCAGTTTACTAAAATACAGTGATACTTTTAGTGACAATAATCAGATCTGGAGACTTTTAGAAACAACAATTACCAGACTGGTGGTGTCTAGTTTCTGCTGCCCCATGGCAAATCCTCTAAGTGTTCAAAATGTTTTGGGAAGCCAGTTATGCACTGTTGCTACAGTGTTTTGTGGATCATTTATTTATTGAAACAGTTTCTTTTTCTGGCTGTTTATGTTCAGCAACCATTGTCCAGCATAAACAAAAGGCAGCCCTGTTAATGGAGCCAAGAGGGAGAAGAACTAGAGGGAGCCAAATTAATTCATGGCACTTTGGCTAGACAAAGTTGTGAATCACAAAATGCTTGCTTAAACATGGATTTTTAAAGTATGACTCTTCTTCTGGTCTTGAGAATTCATGTGAAAATAGCAATTAAAACTGAAACATTTCTGTAAACGATCATGGAAGGAGAACGCATTATTAGAAATATGGAAAGCACACATCTTGCACTTCAATAAATGGTTTACTTGGCAGATATGACTTCACTGTTGGGAAAAATCTGTTTCTACATATGCAACATGAATGTCATGTAAATATGTTGTGGTCTCACGAATGTGCTTTTTGTTGACACTAGTATGTGGAATTTAGCAAGCAAATTAAACAGAATACATACAGAACTATAGGAGAATGAGCAGAGGTGTGAGAGAGGAGCTTGTTGCTTATCTTGAATTTTTCAGGCTCTTGAAAAGCTGCATGCTTTTCAGTAGATTTTCATGCCTCCCTCGTACTTCCTCAAAATCCAAAATTGCCATGTGGTGATAAATGAGCTTTTAATTTTAACAAGGGCTGAGCATTCAAAACCATCTTTAAAATGTATCCTCCACATTTTTAAACAGTTATGTATGACTGGTGTTTAATGGTGTCTTTTGCAAGTACTGGTTTATAAATGTTGTGGCTTGTGTCTGCAGATGCTGGGCATGTATCCTCTGACTGCACATTTTAAGGCTCTTGGGAAAATTGAGCTCTCCAGCTTTTGTTTGCACTAATCGGGCATTTTTACATGTGCCTCGGAAGTGGGAGGGTGGTGGGGGAAGAGGCTTTAATTACAGTGGCTCTGTTGACTGAGCTTTAGATAAAGCATCCCTGCCACCATTTTGAAGTGCGAGGATGCTGATACATGAGATGCGGAGGCTGGCTGGAGCATGGTAATTACCATGCTTCAGCAGACTCGATTAATCGAGTCTGCTCTGACATACTGTAATTACAGCGCATCACAGCAGCCTCCCGTTTATCACTGCTCTTTCTGTTCAAAAGCTAACTCAGTGTTGTCTACCCATCAGACAGACCTTATAGAATCTGTGATTATCTATTGCAAAACATCCATTAGAGAGAAAACTTGTGTATGTATGTACTATTAATATGTATGGCATGTTTCAAATTCTTGAATGCCGCCAACCGTATTAGTCTAGAATGATGAAAAAGTAAAAGCAATCCAAGTATGCATTAGTATATACATGAAAAAAACAGGGTCATCAAAAGTGCGTAGGTGATGCAGGGGCATGGATCCAGTTGAAAGTCAATTAGACTTGTGCTTGTAACTCAGGTGCTTTTGTAATCTCCTTCCCCATCCCCCTTCCCCCACACCAAACACACACACTAATATTCATTAGAACTGAATACTGTATTTACTCAAATGTAAGGTGAGGCATGGGGGGGAGGAAATTCCATATCTTATATTTGTATACCAGCATACCCCCCTGCTACAATACGCTGGCTGTCATTAAAATGCTATTAGAAGCAGCATGTGCTCAGTCATGGAAACCAACTCTGAAGTTGATTGAATGCAGCCTGTTCTGAGCATGACCATAAAATACCTGGCCCATATGGGGCAAATTCACTGATGGGGACCTTTTACTGGTGGCTTTTAAAACATGGGCAGTTGGTGTCCC